TATATTGAGACCCCAAATTACTATATTGAGGACTAAAATTTACTATACTGAGGCCACAAATTACTATTTTGACAATATTGAGGCCACGAGGCCACAAAGTACTATATTGAGGCCACAAATTGCTATATTGAGGCCACAAATTAATAAATTGAAGCTACAAATTACTATATTGAGGCCATCACTGGCTATGTTTACATGCAACGATTTTTGCCAATCCGATTGAATACAATCCGATTACAGATTTAGACTGAGGTGTTTATATGCACTCTATTCAACAATCTGATGGAAAATCTTCGTTTACATGCTCACTACAAGTAGCGAGCTATTAGTCGGATTATTAACGGATTATCAGGCTGCATGTAAACGTGGCTACTTACTATATTGAGGCCATGAGGCCACAATTGTACTATTTTGAGGCCACAATTTACTATATTGAGGCCACAAGTTATTATATTGAGGCCACAATTTACTATGATGGGGCCACAAATTACTACACTGAGGCCCCCAGTTAAAACTTGGGAGTTTCTGCTTAGCTCCGACTTCGGAGGTCCTAAACACGACCAATATGTCCAAGTGGTTTTGGTTGGAAACAAGACAGATGCGCTGGAAATAATGTTTTAAATCATTTTTCTGTCATAAAATGTGGAGAGGAATTCATAACTAGATTGAAAAGCAATCTGTGCCCTGCTGCAAAAGATTATCATTAGCTGGAAACCATTAGGATTAAAACCATCAAATGCATTTAGAATCAGCCTTTGGTCACCAGTTAAACCATTAGAAGTCTTTACTTAAGCAATAGAACAGTGTGTTATCGCGAAACAACATCGAGATTGTCGTCGCTGCAGAACCAAAAGTCCAGGGGGTTCGGCTGGATCTGATCCAACTCCTCCTACGTCGTGTTTTAATTGGTCTGAACTAAACCAGACTCCACCCCGTCCCGCTATACTTGCCCGTCAGATTCAAGTAAAACGTAATCAAGTGCGAATGTGAAAGTAAGTAGGTTACGTAGGTTAGCTAACACACATTTTCTCTCTCTTATGAAATTCAAGGATTTAGTTGATAAAACTATTATTATTATTATTATTATTATTATTATTATGTTATTTTGACTTGTCATAAGTGCATTCTAGTGTTCAAAAACGTTCAGCGTTTTCAGCTAGAACTCGTCACCCATAAGTACACTTGAGATGTAGGCCTACAGAACGGACTTTGTACCGGATGTGAAAAAAGCTTTTCGAGTTTTGACAAATGAGTGTGAACGTGGTGAATCATGAGCGGTTATAAAGGATGTGTTGTGGCATTCAGGATGGAGCAACATCGAGAAAATAAACAAAAACACCAGCAACACCTGCGGGTTTCCCACAGGTAAAAACGCGACAGGGTAGACCAATGAAATGAGTCGTAGGCGGAAAACGTAAGCGACACATACTAATTTAAAGACCAGTAGAAATATGATGATTTTAGATCAATGAAAAGAAGACGTGGGCGGCGTTGGATCAGGTCCGGCTCCACCCCTTTGGACTTGTGGTTCTGCAGTGAGTGATAGTTGATAACATCACGGCTGTGATTTGGTCGCTGTTCTATTGCTTTTATACAACAGTTAAATTAATAAAGTAATAAATTAATAAAGTGGGCCGTGAACGCGGCATTTAATATGTTTTAATGTTCGCAGTTCCTTCACCAAATTATAGTTCCTTAACAAGCAGCTTAACTCCGCCCACTCGCTGCACAGCCAGCAATTCGTTCTCCAGCTCCTTACACTAAATTCCCAAACTGTCATCACCATTGACCAAGCTTTTTTGTTTTTTTATTGCGGCAGTTTTGTGGCTCAGTCCGATTGGTCAGACTCTGAAGATCAGACTACACGTTTGGCGAATGGTGTTGGGTTCATTTCTGGCTGATTCCAGGTTGTTTAGGTTCTTCTGTCACAGCTGCCGACTGAAAAGCTGCTCAGTGGTGATGACAGTTTGGGAATTTAGTGTCGTCTCATCTTCAGAGTCTGACCAAATCGGCTGTCGGTCAAATGTGATCTTAAAAGTGTCCATTTTCTGTTTGTGGCAAAGTAAGAAGTAAAAACGTTCAAATGGTTTGAGCGTCTCCTACAGCTGTCAAAGTCGTTGCTTAGCAACAGCGTCTCAGCGGAGTGATACAGTGATTGTGAAAAACCTGTGATGTTATGGCGAAATAACAACACGGTTAGAATGCTTCTCAACCAATCAGCTTGCGTGGCAGGAACTAACTGTTGTATAAATTGTGATATCAACCCATTAAAAAAGACAAAACACATTACAAAACCATCGGGAATCAACAGAAACGATTAATGGTTTCTCTCTGTTTTTTTCAGCAGGGTAGTGGCATGCAGAAAATAAAACAAGCATTGATTTTATGTCCCTTGACCTTTACTGAACAACAATGCAGAAGGATTTGCGTTTTAAAAATAAAATACTGAATTAATGTCAGAATTGAACACAATAGCTAGTGTACAGCTATATTGCTTCCACCATACAGTATTTTAAATGGATTTTACTCTTTGAAATGCAGTCAAAAGTGAAAACAGTGAAATGCAGTGCACACATGACGGTACTTTTCCACAGGTGACATGCAGAATATGTGCCAAAATGGAAAGCAAAACCACTATAACAATGTTTTCATATTGCTTGACCTTTTTTTGTACTTCAAACGTATTTTCTTTATTGAAATGCAACCAAAACAGTGAAATGCAGTGCACACACAAGATAGCATTTAAACAGCAACATGCGGAAAACGTTCCAAAATGAAAAGTAAGTGATCCATTACATTGATTCAATGTTGTTTGAAGTACTGCATGGTGGTAAGCAATAGCCGTGCCTTTGTTACATTTGAAGGCGGATTGTATACAGTTCTGACATAGATTCAGAGTTCATGCTCATGCATTGTTTTTCAGTAAAAAGGTCAAGCGACATGAAAACAATGTACTAGAGGTTTTGTTTTTCATTTTGGCATGTATTCTGCATGACACTATGGAAAATTAATGTCATAGGTGCGATGCATTTCAAGTTTTCCACTGTAGTGATTGCTTCTAAATTTGGAACAAATTCATAAGGACCACTTGATGTGTGTTTAAGTGGTTTTGGTAGGAAACAAGACAGATGCTCTGGAAATAATCTTTTTAGTAAACTTTTGTTTTCTGTCATTAAAGGGAGTCCGTTTATGTTGCATTACTTCAGTAAAGTAAAGAGCTTTTCTTGTGACTTACCCCCAACTTGAAAACTTAGTGATCTTACAAAAACGTTTTGGATTATTAATTGTGGTGGCGTTTATGTGCGCTCGTCTCATAAGCACGATATTTGTAACACAACTTGAAGGCAGCATAAGGGTAAGACAACTAGCTGGTTCTATCTTTGTCTCCAGTTGACTGTTTCTCATATGTATGTGTGTGTGTGTGTGTGTGTGTGTGTTTGTGTGTACATATATATATATATACACTAACTGAAAATAAGATATATATATACACTAAAAGAAAATAACACATCGTCTAAAGGGAAGAAGCTTAAATATGCCATTTTTCAGCAAGTTGTAGAGCACAATTCCTATACATTTGCTTGTTTTAAGTAGTTTAACATTGGAAAATAATGAGCCTAAAATATAAAATGTGCCATAACTTTTTCACAGACCACCGTTTATGTTTTATTTTTTCCACAATATCTTAAATTCAGCAAATAAACGGTGTCTGTGCATTAAAATGTGTTCTCAGTGGAGGATATGTACTTACTTTCACTGAAGTAAATTCATTAACATCAGTAAATAAACACACACACACATCTTCTAAGCAGCTTCCTTCTGGGTCGGGAGGGGAGCTGGAGCCTATCCCAGCAGTCATTGGGTGGAAGGCAGAATACACCCTGGACACCTAGTAAATAAACAAAATATGATTTTTTTCAAAAATAATTTGACCAGGAGAACTCAAGCTTGGCATGTGATTGTGTTTTTGTATATGGGATTGTATCAAATGCTTAACTGTTTGTAACAGGACTGTTATTGTGGACCTGTTTCTTGCAAATCATCAATCATGCAACACACACACACACACACACACACACACACACACACACACACACCATCTAAACCGCTTATCCTTCTGGGTCGTGGCGGGGTGCTGGAGCCTATCCCAGCTGTCATTGAGCGGAAGGCAGGATACACCCTGGACAGGTCGCCAGTCCATCGCAGGGCAGTATATTATACAAAGAATTGTATTTACATTCCTGCTCTGAACTGGGTCTGCTCTTCTTTTTTCATTTGTTTCAAAGTTAAGAAATGTTAAAAATATAAAGATTATTTATTTCTGCACAACAAGTCTTGTTTCAAAAACAGCAACTTTTCATTAAATTCGTGTCATAATATAAGGTGTCCCCTACTTTCAGATGCAAATGTTGTATGGATTGAAATTAAGAATAACCCTGACTTCTGAGGCTTAGAGGAATAAGCCAGCCCTTTTCAACATAATCTCTGTCAGCTGCATTTGTAACGTCGAGTCAGTTACCACAGTTAAAAAATTTTACCTGTTTTACCTGTACTTTGTAAAGAACAGCAAACCTGTTGACTTAAAATGGCAGTTGCTAAATGCTGTGTTTGAAATAACTGACTGTATAAGGCAAATGCAAAACCACACTCTGACAGTACAGCTGTTAGGATGAGCCAGACTGAGAGAATGTCTTACCAGAGCTGTTCTAATGAAACTTTATCCAACCTTCTACCAATGGAGTGATGCAGTAAAAACGCAGTACTGATTACATTCACCCCCCCCCATACCACTATAATGGTAATATTTAGCTGAATTATACTGTTACAGTAACAATTTACTGTTGGAATTCAGCCCAGTGGCTTCTGTTGTGTGTTTTAAGTCAGTGGGTTTTCTGTTCTTTTCTATGTACAGGCAGATGTATTGAAATTATTGTCCGTTATAATCAGCTGTACTCTAAAGATGCTGAAGTACTCATTTTTTTCTGTATTCACTTTCTTAGATCTACCACTAGCTCAGATGCAGCCTCTGTGCATGAAGCCCCACCCACAGCCCCTCCCTCCTCTCTCTCTTTTTCCAACCCCTCTCTAGCCCCGCCCTCCCCCTCTCCCGCTCCTACCTTCCTTCGCCCCCGACCAGCCAATCAGCAACAGTCTCGGGCCAAACGTCTATCTCACCTTTTCTTGAGAGGGCGGTCCAATAGTGATCGTGACCGCGCGATTGGAGAGCGAGAAAGGGAATTGTGGGCACATTCGGCCGCCCCTTCATCACATCACTTCCTGCCCCCTGCGTCATCCTCCGCCCCAGGGCTGGTTAAAATCTACGGCGATGCCCTCTCAAGTGGAGCTAACTACCGTAGCTTACTGGCCAACATCCACTCTACTGCCCGACAACTTATCCAACAGGTCATCACCCGTTACACTGAGAGGGAGAGGGAGAATGAGAGTGATGACATAGGTGAGCAGACACTTATGGATGTTCTAAGTATATGTTTCTCCAATATAATCGATACCTGTGCCTCATATCGACTGCTTCTGTAGGGTGCTGTCTTGTTTTTAGAGTGAGTAGTGTACCCTAGAACACTAGAATTGCTGAAAAATGAAGTATGATATGATGTCATCAGAGGAAACTACAGTTTGAAATTTTGAAATTGTCCAATCATTGCACCAGAATGCTCACACAGGTTAGGAATGAAAAATTTAGGTGAATAATTTTAATTTTAAAACTGGAGATTTGTTGTAGGGAGGCTAGATAATTCATTGTGGGGAAACCATACCATAATATGTAATTTCATTTTAGTGTAAAACATTAGTTTTCAGTTTATGATACTGTATGACAAAAATCCATACACTAAATACAGTACAGTGCATGTTGTGTAAGAATATGTACAGAGTGCCTGAACTGGATCACAGGGTATGTTTCTCAAATCCCATCTTGATTTTTGTGCTGTAGTGCAGTTGTTCAAAGTATGAAAGCCTTGCCAAAATAGTGATCACTTGAATTAGGCATGTCACAGTGAGGAAGGATACTTAACTGTGGCGGGCAGTTGTACTAAAGGGCATGATGGTAAAGGACCTCTGGGTTAGGTGATGTACAGCATTGTTTTATGTGTTCCTGTGTACAAAAACATTGCCAGCGTTTGGCCCTATAATTTTACTGTGCAGTCAGCTACAAGGGTGTCTTATTTGGTCTTCTAAATTTGAAAATGACATAAGCTATGTAACCTTGGTGATGTCACTCTCCTCTGAATGTCCCAATTTCCTGTGCACCTGCTTAGCTCTCCAGAAACATTCCCCGGAGGACTTCCTGTTGTGTGATGTCATTGGAAAGCCCATTCAGCAGGCAGATGGAGGTGTCCAGTGGCAGACAGAGTGCCGGAGGGGCGTGGCTCCCTGGGAATGCCCCCTGCTGTTGGTGGACATGTGGAGGCCCAAGGATGGCTTTGAACGGCGCTTTGAGATCCAGCGCCGTGATGAATATGAGAGGGAGGAGAGAGAAAAAGAGAAGGAGAGAGAGAGGGATGGAGAAAACTACCAAGGTAGAGTAAAGTGTTTAGGAATCAAGCACCTACCCTTTATTCTCTTGTTGTCTGTAGTTTCTTGGTCAAAAGCACATCTGATTGTGTATCATCTTTTACGTTTGTCAAACAGTGTTTTTTTGCACAATAATTGCAATTAGATGATGTCTATAGAAGTCAACGTATTCAACCATCCAAATTTTTGTTCACCTGAAATGGATTTAAAGTGACTAATTAATTGCTTTACTGAATTGGCTTTATAATAAACATAGATGTAGTAGGTTAGCTAATCCAACTGAAGTCTAGTACACCAGCAGGGGCAGCTGATGGGCCTTTGCATTCCTTCCATTTTCAAGCAGAGAGCAGTAGAATTTAATAGGATATTTTCCACATTATTTTGCACTCAACTGTTTGTTGAAATAAGGTAATGCAAGTCTTACTGTCAGTTTCCATTTGTTTCTTCAGTTTCTATACCAACAGGGCATTATCAGAATTGCACACTGCGCAATATTTCAGTTTCAAATACAACATAATTTTCAGCAGAACTATCTTTGTTAGCTATCTATATATTATCCTGATGTTTTGATATGTTGATTTAATAGTAATGTAAATTGACTGATGGCATCTTAAAATAATTGTAATACATTTTGATGAATGACATTCTAATGATGTAATATGGTGTGGCTTGTTGTAAGATTCTTTGTTACATTCTCCTTGAATATTGGTTGTTGGTGTAGTTAAACAGGTTGCAGATTGTGTCTTAAAAACTTTGCAGACTCATCGCTGCCTTCCAAAATCTCTTTCGTTGAAAGTTTAGAGGCAAATGTTCAAAAGTCACCTTTTTGAGTATAGTGGACAGTATTGTGTCACAGTACAATGCGAAGTAGAAAGGGAAGAGTTGCTTATGGCCAGAGAATTAAAAAAACATAGTCAGTAGCCTAACGTTGCATAGCTTGAATTAATTTAACTGACTAACATTAAGGTTAGTAAATGAAGTAGCATTCCTAAGGGAGCATTTCATGAATGTGTAACAAAAAGGTATTATGATAAAAATGACAACGTAAACCAAAAATAAACTAATTAATTATTGACAGCATTTTTGTTTAAATTTGCCGCACACAACTGTACACTGTCATAGCAACATTACTTCATCATCTCCTCTTAGTACAAAATGATACAAATTGATACATAATATGACTTTTGAGTACTGTGAGTATGCACCTTAAAGCATCAGTTTTAGTGCACAATTGGACTACATATAGTTCCCTATACTTGTATAGTTTTAAAGGACAAAAAACTCAACCAATATATTTAAAGGCCAAGAAGTCTGAATAAAAAAGAACAGAGATCATTGAGAATGACAGAAAGATGTGAGTGTTTGCTTGCGCTTGCTGTTGCAGTGCGCTGGAGACGCAACAGGATGGCCTCAGGCAGTGGTCCTGAAGAGGAGCGGGGTCACCGGGGGAGAAACACAGAGCTCCGGCGGAGCATCAGTGATATGAACCTGAGCCTGAGGCGTCGCCAAGGTAACCAGGCTGCCAACGACGCCAGGCATGGGGGAAACACACCAACCAACGGTGGACCACCGGACAGGAAGAACATTGTGAGCATGATAGCCACAGAGTCAGGAGAGGTGAGATTCAGAAGCGAGAGAAAGAGAAGGATGAAGAAAACAAGAAGCAAACAGATAAAGAAGCAGATACTTGGTATTTGTACACTGCCATTCAGAAGTTTGGAATCACTTCCTGTATTAATATTTTTTGTTACTTTACATATAATAACTTATAAAATGTAGATTTCAGTATAATAAACAAGACAGCAAAATGTACTTTTAAGGTTTTAGTATTTCAGTGTTTTGTGAACAAGGAATGAAAATATACTATAAATGTCTATTTACAGTCATTCTGGACGTCAATTTGAACTTCATGCTTATAGCTTTCTTCGACATTTTAGAATCATGTACAGCTCCATTGAGCATTCTGGACATGTAATAAGTTTCTTGTTTTTTTTCTTCTAATTAAACCTGTGACAAATTAGCATATTAGAATCATTTTATACTTCATCTGCAAACAACAAATTGGTTTTATATTATTGGAAACAGTGGTTCCAAAGTTTGATCAGCAATATACTACAGATGTTTATGAAATATAGAAACTAGTAGGTTCACTGAATCACTGGCAAATATAGGTTGGCATAAAAATGCATTGATAGATCAGTGTGAAGGTGGCAATTTAACTGCATACATTTTGGAATGTTAGAATTAATTATAATTGATTGTAATAATATTGAAAAAATGTATGCATTCATTTTATGGCCAAAATAAGGAAAAATTTATGAAAAATCCCATAAAAAGCGTGGTAATTTTTTATTGTCTATATTCCACTACTATGTAGTTACTTTCTGCAGTCATATTTATGTATTCAGTGTATTTTCGTAAATAATTTTGAATTAAACTGATGAATGATGAGTTTCTTCTACTGGCAAACTTGTCTGTTCATTGTGAATAAAATTGAAAAGGCTGATGTTTTGCACTCTCATAATCATCACCTTGTGATCTTTTCCAAAGGTCACTGGTTCGAGGGTCCTAGGTGAGGCGGATCGACACTCGCGAGCAGTGAATGAAGAGAGGGACACCTGTGACCTGGAAGTGATGTCGCAGAGCCTGATCCTCCCGCCCACGGACCGTCCATACTTCCTGTTGCTGCAGGGCTATGACCAAAGCAAGGCTAGACATGCAGCACGACCCTATCACACTGACTGCCCCATGATATCATACCTGCATCCCTCTAATCTCAACATACCATCTCCTCTTTCATACCTTTGAGTGGATATGGCATTCAGAATGCAGCACAAACAGCTATACATGGACATACAATGGCCACGCGGGCTGCACAATGCATCCACACACTCGCTATGTCTACATCTGGCCCTGCCACACAATGACCTCACACAAGAGCACATTGTTGAAAACTGTAACACACTTCATCCCTTATCAGCTCTGCATTTCTGAACAACTTAAGATGGCAGATTATACATTTTCATAGCAACTGAGCTGAAAATGACAACAACCTTTTTTCTTTCCAACCTCTCTCTCTCTAACTCTATTGGAGCTGTGTTAGTTTTCCCAGTGAAGGTGGTGTAATGTAATTTTGTAGCGGTGTCCAACAGCACAGTAAAGAATATCCAGCGCACACATACAATCCCACAACACACCACAGTAGATAGTTTATGAACGATGAACTCTAGTGGAATACCCACAGTGCACTTTGTTTTACAGTATTTGATGGAATATGACTGCTAATGAGCAGTCATTTTTGTAATGTTAGAGTTGGAAGTCACTCCACAGTAATGATGTCTAAGGCCTTTACACACCGAGTGCATTTTATTTGTGCGATTTACATGGACAACAGAAAATAATTTGAGCATGTGTATAACTGATGATATCTTGCACAACAAACATGATTTTTCAGTCGGTGAAAATGCAACATTATTTTATTCTGTTTAGTCTTCTGTCTGATTTTTTGTAATCAATCCCTGGCGACATGAACCCTCTGACCAAGCATGGTCATCTCTGGCATTGGCATGACGAGAACAAAGGTGATGGAGCAGCTATATTCCAGCAAATAAGACTTTTTCTCAAGGGCTAATATGATCAGAATTTCCAAAAGCAGAACAAATGGGGCTCAAACTGGGCTATAAACATCTTATCCTATGTGGAAGTGCTTAACTTTTCTGCTTGATTAAGCTCTTTATGCTACTTTCACTTTTCCAAAATGTACAGTAGCCCAGTGTCACCACTTGCTCTTTCTGTGAGGAACAATAGAAAACTTTTTTGCGCTTAAAGACATTCTGCCTGTTTGTTTTGCACTTTTATCTCATGTGGAGCTGCATCTAAAAAAGCAGCTGAAACAGAATCACGGAGATCCAAGAGGTCGTGAAGTTTTAGCTCCTAAAATGAAGTGAAGGAACTTTTCCACAGTGGAAAGCATCCTGCATAATGTCACAGTATGCCTGTATCATGAGAAGCAAGCAACCTTCTCATAGATATTCTGCCTGGTTTTTTTTTGTGGCGCGCACAATTCAGTGAACTTTCAGAAAAAGTGTGTAGAGTATAGTTTGGATGCGGAAAAGTCATTTGCATTTTAGTGTCTTTTTTCGCATGGTGTATAGTGTGTAATGGCCTTTAGACTGTAAAGGCTACAAACACTCCAAAATCATACTGAATTAAAATCACGTATCTCATTGCTAATCACAGTAATTACTGCACCTCTCTGGGAAATCTAATTCTGCTCCGAGGAGAGTGTGCAAGGGTCTAAGGATTTATGATTTTCTGATTTTCTTTGTTATTTGTCCAGGACTTTGTTTTGTACATCATGGCGAGCCACACGCATGTTTTCGGGAGGAAGCCAACATTCCGCGAGAGGGAGAAGGACAGGGAGAGAGAAAGGAAGGGGAAGAGGCCTCTCAGAGTGGACACTTTCCTCTCAGCTCCAGACCTCCTTACACGACACCTTCTGGTCCGGAGGGACTCTGCTGTTCCTGACCAACCCCGTGGCCAAGGTATCACAGGCTTCATGTGGGACATGTAAAACATTGTGTTAGCTCAAAATCTATGTAAGTGACTAGGACTGCAACAGTTAGTCAGCAAAGTTGATTAGTTGACAGTGATTATTTTTTTTGTCACTGTTTATTTTTATTGCTGATATTTTACGAGATCAGACAGACCTCAGGGCAGTAGGAATGCATAGGAAAAGTCTTTTCAGAGTAATGAAAGTAACAGCCAAAACAAACAGACACACATAAAAAAGAAAGAAAAAAAAGAAAAACAGTCCAATCAGATAACATTTGTCAAACCATGCAGTAAAGTATTGCCTGTTCATTTGAAAAAAACCCTATAATCAGTACAAGTAAACAGTGGGACATGTTGTTTATTTAACAACAAAAACACTCTTTAATGCTCTATAACAGAGGGACATAGTCCAGCATAGGTTGGTGATTTTCCTACTCAAACACACCTGGTTCAACTCAGTAATAAACAGGTTTAATTGCTGTGTTGAGAGCAGGAAAATCACCAAACTGTGCTGGATACTGGCTCTTCAGGACCACAGATTTTTATCCCTACTCTGTAACGTTCATATAATCCAACAAATTGCAAAGGATAGGAAGTGATATGTCATCTGTTGATTCACTACATTGTAAAAGTCGATATCACTTGTTGGGGCAAAGTGAGAGCAAAAGGCAGAAGTCATAATGGTTCAATGATAACCTGTTAACAGTCAATAGATTTAGTGTTTACAAAAATAATCTGTTGTTGCAGGTATATAAATGATTGAAAATGATTCATTTCAACAATGTGTACAGCGGATGGGGCACCAAAATAGTTTACAGGTCAAGGCAAAAACATTCATTACTTATAATGTATGTTAACGTGAAGACTAATTTTATTTTCTCACATTGTATAGGAGAATTACTGTGCTCAAATGATGTACAAAACATAAACAGTGAAGATATATTATTCATATAAGAAATGTAAAACAAAAACAAGACACAGAGTGTTTATCCTGCACTCTGGCCACATCAAATTTAATGTTAATTTTTTCATTATCTTCTCACAGTGAAAGTTAGGGATTTTATTTTGAAGTTCTGACCTTATAATGCTACATAAACTGGTTATGAAACTTAGGAACACCCGAACACAAACATGTAGGATAAAATTGAAGGACACCTTGAAACACGAATGTACTGTTACAAATGTACATATTTTTACTGTCTCCAACCAACAAAGCACAATGCTGTTAACTTTCGGCTCATAGCTTTTAAAGCAGTAAGGAACAAAAAGCATTTTTGCTTTTATAAAATAGCAAACAACACAGTATAATAAATTACATGAATGTTCAATTAATCATTTCAGTTATCATTAACAATTATAATCACATTAATCACATTTCATGGAAATATTTTGTCTGTATTAAACTGCTGTTGTTTCTGTAGCACTGGTGCGTCCATTCAGGGGAGGAGCTGTCACTCACAATGGAGCTGTACTGTACAGAGAAGCCGTGCTTAAACCTGGGGACTTGATTGGGCTTGGCAATCACTTCCTCTTCCTGTACCGTGACCCCCGAGTGACTCCTGCCCCACCCATAGCGTTGGCCCCGCCTTGGCAGTCTGACAGCACTACTTCTTTTGGGTCTGGAAATATCACGGACAGACAGGAAGCTCTGAGGCAGTATCTAGGGTCCACTGAGGCAGTGCTGAAATTCCAGGCCAAACAGACAGATGCCCTGCTACAGGTACAACCCGTTATTCCTTCAGGGTTAGGGTCAGCAGTGTCACTGTTAAGGAAGTTCACGCTGAGTGAAAAAATCGTGAGACACACTACAGTCTCTTTTGGGGTGCTTCATTTTTTCAAAGGCTGCTTTGTGTCTGCCTATTGCTAAGCAAGCTATTGTTTTGAGATATTCAGGTAAAAAGTTTCCCCTCATTACTATCACAGAAGGCCCATGTACCTGAATGACATCAAAGTAGTAAATTCTAATTACATTAAAGAGGATTCGTTCACACTGGTGGTAAAATGTGCAAAGAGTCATTTAACCTGCAGAGTAAAGCAATATAGGTAGAATTGGATACATTAAAGCAGCCACACATACTTGAGATCAACCATACACAAGGCCAAATTGTGGCTAGGGATATAGAGAGCTAATATCCATCAGATAGCATTTAGCAAAATGAACAAATTCATGGATACATTTTTAGTTCTCTTTGGCCCTACTTAGAGTCTTTCCTAAGGCGACACATAAAACCACAATAAACTGTTAAAGATGCAGTCCCTTCTAGAGATAAATATAGATACAAGAAGACATAGACTTCACATTGGTAAATATGTGGTATGGCTAAATACGTTGTTGCAGTGAATACATCTATAAATGCATTACTGCAACAGTCACAGATTAACCCAGCAAGATTTTTTTCTCTCGAAGACCAGTTTCTCTGTAATTAACTTTCTATTTTTGTTTTAGGAAATTATGTCAAAGAATTCAACTCCAGATTCAGGAGGAGGACCATTAGCCCCAGCCTATCTGCTGTCACTCATGATTGACTACGCCTCCAAACATCTGGACCCAGCACTGACACCTCAACTGCTGTTAAAGGCAGCCAATCAGATAAAGGCGATTGTGTGGGTGCGTATCTACTGTCCTTTTAAAGAAATCATGAAAACATTTTTATAATTTTCTTTAGGAAAATAGAAATGTATAGTAATAACATTATAGCCATTCAAACTTGGAATATGATAGTTATTGATTTTAATGATACATTGAACTGTAAAACTTTGTTATAATCATATTTTAAACTTCCAATCAAAGCACCTCATGGACCCAGCTTGTAACTCACTCATTTACACACTCACTCATGTTTAGCAAGCTGAAGACTTAACCTGAGGGGCACTCGTAGCAGTCAAGTTACTTTTGCTGCTTGTTAGACTGGAGCTTCTCATCAGTGACACCATGTCCTTGTTAAAAGGTGCTGGTGGAAGTGAACAGTTACAGTCTAATCAGTAAACAGCAGTAGTGCTGCTGATAATATCATGTTTCTTTCAAATTGTAGATTTTTATGAGTTATACAGAAACATATATGGCACAATAAAAAGTCTATCAGTGTAATATCTAATTAAATGAGTTTAGGGTGTATTATTGCTTTTTAAACATTATCAGGATATTTTAAAGGTATTTCGATAATACCAATAATAATGATAATTTCAAGATGTGTTTTCATACCGTCCCACCCCATACCACGGTCACTGATCATCACTTTCTCTGTTGCACAACTGTTCAGTCATAGCCACACTTAGAGTGGTTATAGAAGTACTCATGATATGACTGATACAGATATTCTGCATAAAAGGGTCCTGAGGCGGCCGTGTTTGAGTGCTAGTGAAGAGCTGGGGCCAGGGCAGGCTGTGGTTTGAGGAGCCACAGCTGCACACACATGGGCTTTCACTGGTATTTCGCCGAAGTTTGTAAACAGAGGTTGACTGATGTCATTTCCACCCGTTTGGAAAATGTGCTGTCATTGTCCGGACACATCAGCCAAACACACCCGCCCAAGCATTCATCCGAGGCTGCTCTAATCTCTTCTCTCTCTCTCTCTCTCTCCTCTCTCTCTCTCTCTCTCTCTCTCTCTCTCTCTCTTTCCCCTATTCCATTATTCATGTTTCAGGACAACATTAAGGAGTTTGGAGACAAACATCCCACACAAACGTAAGACATTGAAGCTTTTCGGTGCTACACATGATTATTTAACACATAACATATATAAACTGCTTCATGCACTGCCTTGTTTATCATATATTCATTCTGGAGGCTTACATAAGAAACATACTCTGTGTGCTGATCAGAAGATACAGGGGGCCCAAGGACACTCAGCAATACCAAAATATTTTTCATCCTAATCTCTGTCTGCTACATCTGTAAAGATAGAGTTGACTACCATTGACAGTAATTTCAGTGAGGTTTCCTGTACTTAAAAAAGAAAAGAAAACCCCCTGACTTAAAACTCACTGATAACAGAAGTCATTGGGCAGATGCGTTGCATTTATAAATGTTTGAAATCTGTGCCGATAACTACAACTGTTATGCTTGTTAACAGTGCAGGTGTTTCAATGAGATGGACTCAGAGAATGTCTTACCAGAGCTGTACTTATGAAGTTTAATCCAGCTTTCAAACAATAAACAAAAAACGCAGTTCTGTTTACTTTTGCTTTTCTAAAGTTTTCTGGTAACCATGATAATCAGGCAGGATACCACTGTGCTGGTCATGAATAACCACACATTCTTTCTGGAAAACTAGTTCTATCTCTGAACAAAAACATTATAAACATCTTTCACTGAAGGATTACCAAAACAAGTGTGTTTTCTGTAAGTGTTTACCAACGGAATTTTAGCGAATGTCTGATGGCATGTTTCTGAGTTAACCCTTTGAGGCTGATGCCAAAACATGGCTATTTCTGCTGTTTAATCTCCCCTTCTGAGTTAATCACATTATTTCTCAGTGCTGTTGTTGCATTTATTTGACATGTAAAGAGCAAGATCTAAGTAAGCTGAAAATTCATAGATTTTGATTTAATTTGTCTCACAAACAACCTTTTTGAACAAGAAAACGTGAACAGAGATATGTAACATCAATAGTGTTTTATCATTGCTCTGATTAAACAAATTAACATCAAGTTTTTATGTGCATGTCCACTTGCAACTTCTACTCACTGCATCCTATTCATTTTCGCCGGGAGCTCTGCCGTATCGCGCAGTGCACAATGGTTTGCCATGCGGCAAAAGTTTCGGGCAATGGTAGACAGGCCTTCATCACAAACGATAAACATAACTTTCTCTGAGAGTAGAGAAACAGTGGTTCTCTTTCTTTTCACTCAATCCATGACAATTTTTCATAATAAGGAAATCATCTAGTTTTATACAGAACTGTTGACAGTGAGGATCTGGAGGGAAGAATAAAGTTTACATGGTTCGAATGGGAAGGCAACATTTAAACCATACAGAGCTCGTAGGTTACTTGCTAAGGTAGCTAGTTTGCTGGTGAGATTGAGAGAGCTTTCTAGCTTGTGTGGACGACTGATGCATTCTAAAAAATAATAAAACCATAAAAAGCATACGTCTACATTTGAGTCTCATTGAGTGCGTTTACGTGCACGTAATAATTTGATAACTGCAGAAAATCAGATCTTGTCAGTAATCCAGTCAACACGTTTACATGCTGTTGTGTAATCAGGTGGGGAAACTCCAACTCTACATGAGTCGGGCAGTAATCAGATTTCTACTTTGCAACCAGCCAATAAACTCACAGAAGAAGACATGGCATAAACGTAACGTAAAACTCGAACTTCATGCCACTTTTTTTTATTTGAATATTTGAATCCTTTATTTACTGTTTGGTTTCAGCGCCTCTCCAAAAGTGTTTTGCTGCGTCTCGTGACATCCACTGTCTGTTCTCGCACATGCACAGAGTGAGAAATCCGATAGAAATCGGAGTACGAGTTAACATACACTGAGAAATCTGATTACAGAGCTAAAATCCAGCTCTCTATCGGATTTCTTAATTGGATTTCTAGATCAGAGGATGCTGTTTACATGACCATTTGAATAATCGGATAACTACAGAAATCCGATTATGATCGGATTATTGTGTGCATGTATACGCGTTGTAAGCAACAGCAAACAGCGTTTCAGATTGTTCCTTCATTTCCATAACGAAACACTCACCAGTGTGGCGAGCAGAGAGATCTGGTGCAGCGGGTTGCGGCGAGAAGCGCAAGTAGACACTTACTGTTACTGGCCCAAACTGCACTCTGAGTGTGCTTGCTTACGTGGAAAAAAGCACAGTACAGTTTGAAGGGAACCCCAAATTCTCAGAATGGATTACAAAACGCTCGATTCAGTGGAGTTATCAAGTTTTCTGTTAGTCTCTAATTACAGGGAAACTATACTGACCATATGCTACAGATGTATCAGATAGAGATTAGTTTGAAGGGTGCTGGAGTATTCCTCTTACCACATAAATAGATAAAGAAAACAGTCATCAGTGATACGTGGATCATAAAATGTTGATAGAATATTAACTCACAGTGTAGAAACCATAACTGTTTTACGAATAGGTTATTGAGTTTTAATGTTGGATACGTGTGTGTCTGTGTGTGTGTGTGTGTGTGTCTGTGTGTGTGTGTGTGTGTGTGTGTGTGTGTGTGTGTGTGCAGTTCTTCAGACGCTGAGGCTGACCTTCCTCCTCCTAGCGTGCAGAAACTCTCCTCTGACCTCCGACCTCTCATGTTTTGGATGTCCAATGCCACCGAACTCCTTAACTTTTTCCAGGTTAAAGTTGAGGCCATGGAGAAAGAATGGGAATTTGAGGGTGAGGATCAAAAATAGACAATAGAGTGGTTGCTATTTTCAGTAGACTACATAGTTAGTCTAAAAAGTGTAATTTCTCAAAATAAAAATACAATGTGACTTTACGCAACACGCTACTGTGTATCTGCTGAGATAAAACTGTTTTGTCTTTCCGTGCCTGAATCATTGTCTCCGCATGTCATTTTCCCATTCTGTCCTTTTTGTTCGACACGGTAGTCAAAGCAGGCATGCACTTTGTATTATCTTCCACCTAATTATTTTCAGCTGTTTGAAAGCATAGCTGTGTTTAAACTTCTAGTGTATGGGTCAGATTGGAGATTTAGTGTGCTGAAGTATCACCCACTTTTCTATTTACTAAGGTACGAAACTACACAGCATGGCCTTTTGTGAACTGTCTCCTTTTTTAGATGCTGTATAAACATGTTAACAATTAACAGTTTGTACATTATTAAAATGTCAAAATGTACTGTTTAGTACAGTCCATAAAATCCATGTATGTTAGGCTGAAAAATCAGCCTGTATTGAATTCATCGCAACCTTGAACACATTCACATATGGCTGCCCATGCAGGTTTCATGCTTTCAAGAATATCATACATAAATACATCATCTAAACCGCTTATCCTTCTGGGTCACGGTGGGTAGCTGGAGCCTATCCCAGCTGTCATTGGGCAGAAGGCAGGATACACCCTGGATGGGTCGCCAGTCCATCGCAGGGCATTCAAGAATATCAGTGATTTTAAAATATAGTACGCGTCTTGCAGAAGTGTTTTTGCCCTCATTTCAATGTCATTTTGCCTTCATTTCCTCGTCATTTGATCTTTTTCAGCCCCTGGTGACCCAGTTTTGTCCGCTGATATGGACACCTGTTCTGAGGCACTGGCACAACTTGATGATGTCATCATGCACACCTTCCAGCAGTGCGTGTATCACCTGACGAAGGTGAGAGCAAGTTAAACGATAACACATAAAATATGCCTGAAATTTTAGTGAATGGAATTGAAGGGTTGCTTTTTAAATAAATGTTTGTCGTACTATGCAAATGTTATTACAATATTATGTAACAGTCTGTACGGTCCAGTTGCAAAAAAGGTCACATTTACATATGACCCCCCATTCAGCCTACAACAGTTTAGCCCCACCCATTCATGGTAAGGTTGCAGACAGTTTGGTGCAGAGTTATTGGAGTGGAAAAGCTATTAAGCGGAAAAGCAAGTGGATTTGTGCGGCCTTCCGAAGAATTCACATATCCAAAAGGAGTGGCTTTAGTTCATTTTTTCCCCTACATCCCTGAGGATTTCATTTAGAATTTAACAGCTTGTTCCACATTTGAACCTGGACTGTATATCATTCTTAAAGTCACAGTAACAAATAAAACCTGGTTCATTCTAAGGGATATAAGATAACTTGGAAAATTGTCATGTAATAAACACCTATGACCGTTTTTGGTACATAAACCACACAAATGTTGTAAGTGGACTTCAGGTGAAAAAAATAAAATGCAAGAAAAATGTAGAATATGGACCCATTGAAGTAAAAGCCCATTTCATTCCCTCCCTCTGTCCCTTTTTCAGACTTTGTACTCTCTCCTCCCTACCCTGCTGGACACCAACCCTTTCTCGAGCGAGGAGAAAGAGAAAGAGAAGGTCGGAGCGAGGGATGGAGCAAACGCAGATGGAGAAGAGGGGCACGAGGAGGGCGATGTTTCTGCCTTGCCGCCCACTGTGGCTGGGCTGGTAGAAGTCTATCGCTGCTCCCTGCAGCTGTCCCGTGAAGCCTGCCTGTCTCCCCCTCTCACATCCCAAACCTTTGGCTACCTCTTTTTCTTCACCAATACCTCGCTCCTCAACACCCTGCTTGAGAGAGGTAGTATTGCTGGAGTGTTTTTGCTCAGCTTGACACATAGAGACTCAAATTTTATTCCAAATTTGCTTCTTTAGTTTTGGGCTAAAGCTGCAAGGCTAATGTAGCTAACAAGAAATGTTGAAATGGATATTTATACCCCACCAATTAGCACTGTGCATTTTGCAGTTTGTGCAAACTACATTGAGTTATTAAGTAATCTGAAATAGACTTGCTTATATGAATTCTAAAATTCTGTGACATACTGTTATTTATAAAAACGAAAACGAAAGTGTGGATAAAATGTAGACTTCAAAATGGCTGCCACTGCTGCTTTTAGCTGTTTGAGATTACCTAACAAATCTATGTGTTTTGAGGCAAGTCTGTGAAGACGTGCAATGCAGATGTTTGGCTGTAAGCTTCTGTTACTTATTAGCTACATTATCCTCATGAATCCAGAAAGAATCAAAGTTGTTACAGCTGATCAACTACATTGGGGGTTTTTGGCTGCACACAAAGGTGTGATGCTGGTGCAGTTTTGGAAATGCTTTTGCTGAAAGTGTTTGACTGATTTGTTTTTCTTTTTTGTATGTCAGATGGTTTGTTTTCCTGGTCCCGTGCGGTACAGATTCGCACTAATCTGGACCTGGTCCTAGACTGGCTACAGGGGGCAGGCCTTGGAGACATCGCCTCAGAGTTCCTCAAGAAGCTGTCAGTCACTGTCAACTTCCTGTGCATCCCGAAGACCCGCCTTATCCAGGTAATAGGTCAAAATCAAAATAAGGTACACGTATATACATGTAAAGTATATGTTACTGATTACTAAGAGGTGCTTAAAAGCTAACAAGGGGAACTTGAGCCATTCTGCAACGGTATTGGTACTCACCCACTCCCTCCTCACCTGGGATGACTTCATGTGACTAATTACATGACATGGAAAGCAGAATGGAACCGTAATGTCCCATACTCTTCCTGAAACAATTATATAAGCCGTTTTAAAGGTACGATCATTCATTTTGACAGAATTTATCTGACATCCACTTTTTTATTTCATAGTTTATTCTCTGTGCAGTACTAGCAAAAGCAACTAAACCCGATGGACATTCGAGCTATGTAGTGGCGCTCATTATGTTTCAGCTCTTGACTTTCGCTTTTTCTATATGGAAATCAGCCCACCTAATCTCGCTGTTTGTTTTTTTCGTAAAGAGAAAAGGATGTCTGTGTCATCTGAAGGCGTTCTGCCCATATTTTGTTTTTGTTTGCAGCACAACTGTGAAATTCTCCCAAAAAAAAACACATTGCCTGGTAAAAATAATTTCTACATGTTTTGCAATTTCATATCATCTGGTGTGTAACAGTTTTCATTTTTCATACTGGTCAAATCCCCTTAGCGTTCTCCAGCATCGGAAAGACAATCTGATGTTCATTCTTGTCTTTGTTCTTAGATGTAATATTCTTTATTTTTAATATTCTGTATTTTTCTAGGCTCGTATGTCATCATTGGTAATCGGGGAATTGGCAGATTTTTTCTTTGAGGAACTTACCAGCTTTGTAGCTTGCTAGCTATACTTTGAAGAGAATATCACTAAATATTCCCTTTTTAATTGTACTTATAAGTACAAGTACTGATTTTCTAACCAAATGGGTCCCGGCATTTCTTTAGGTCGGATTTTATCCATTCATTGCTTTTTAATCCATTCATGTCAAAAGCCTGTACAGAAGTTTGGGATATATTCAAAGCCAGGCCCTCATTCTTTCTCTCTTTCAGTCATCTTGGGCCAGCCTACAGGAGGACCATGCCTTGCTAAGCCCTGCCCAGCTTCACCACCTTTTGACTCACTATAAGCTGGGACCAGCCAGAGCTCCACCGACCTGCTGGGCTCCACCCCCAGGCACTGAACTTGGAGGTGGTAAGTAAACTAAGCTCAGTGGGCAAACACACATACATCAAATCCATTCCCCTTAGACCATTTGTCTTCAAATCAGGACCTTAAATCCGGTTTACATGCCTGAATTTTATATTCACTAGTAGTTAACTGAACTGTTGATGTAACTGATTGGTCACCTAGAGTCATAACTACCACTGACTGCAAAATCCAAGCCTGGAAAGTGGATTCATGGTCCAGATTTGAAGAACTCCAACTTAGACTTTCTATCCATATGAAGCACATACACCTTAATCCTTTAAAATCCCAGGCTTATTGCATACTAAGGCTTATTATTCAGTGTCTACAAGTACTTCAGTGCAAACTGGCTGAGCTATTTGTAGGTAATAGAAGTGTGTAATTAAAAAAAACGAGGTTAAAGTGATATTTCAATAATTCTACTTAAAATGTCGATTAGCTAAGACATTGGTTCAGTAAACACATTTACACTATTGGTATAAATATTTCTTGCTTTCTTTTTTCTTAACTCAGACATTTTTGAGAGTTTTCTGGACCATCCACCTCTGATCCTGCCCAATGAGGCTCCAAGTCTGGACCTTGCTCAGCCAATCCCGACCCCTGAGCTCCAAAAGGAAGTGACACGCCTGCGGACGTTCCTGTGGGGCCTGGACCAGGATGAACTACCTGCCAATCAGAGAACTAGGCTGTAGAACAGGGAACATGCCAGGTGCTGTAAAACTATGGCCTGAATGCAGTATGCATTTGCACACACCCTTAGCTTTGGCCTATACAGCACATCTATAAGGCTTGAATACATATCACTTTTTTTCTAAGTAAGCTTAGAGAATTTGCCTTACAGTATTACTGGTGTAGGTTATAGTCCTTAAATATAAAGAACATAAATGAAATGCTGTGTAGGGTGGTTTTCGATAACATCCTCACATTGTTTAAACCAAAGGTCGAACAATTGTGCACCTTATCCTGCGTAATATCGTGTAGACAAATACAATGTGGAAAATGTTACATAAATATTTGACTTAGGGGAGTCATTGCCTGGTTGCAATGAGTACATTTCAGTGATAGGATCTCTTATTTTATGTTTTTTAAAAATTGAATGTGTATCCATTTTTGTCTTTGTTTTATGAATATAAACGCTTCTTGGTGGTGACATATTATCACTTTTATCACTTATTCACAGATCTGTACAAACTAAATATTACTGCACACTAATGACCAGAATATAACACTAAAAGCTTACAACACTTTCTTTAAAGTTTGTTGAATTATGTTTTAAATCTCATCTTGAAAAGTTAACTTCTAACAAACCTTTATTAAAACATAGTTGAGACATTACAGTTATTCTGAAAAACACACCAAAATTTCTTTTCATTTAAATTCCAACAATTTAGAGCGAAAACTGCCTCATTATATTCCAACAGTTACCACACTGAACTACATGAAATGTTGTTCACCGGTAAAAAATTGATATATTTGGATGATGACATTGAAGACCATTGTCTAGCTGCATTAAATTTTCTGACCTGTTGTATATTCACATATTGCTAATAAACATTAACGGTATAAGACCAATTTATTTTGTATTGGTCTATTGTTTTTCCAATGTACTTGTGGAAATTCTGTGGTCATTTGAGTTTTACTCCTGTCATTCTATTAATCAACACTGGGGGGCATGATAGCAATACACAGAGACCTAATAAGCATATTATTACAAAAAGACCACCAAATGAATGGGGTACCCCAGAAGGCCACTCACCAAGTCTTACCAAAGATTACTCTTTTCTCTCAAAGAAAAGTACATGAAATGGCTTATGTTATGTGGTTAACCCTTACAGGTCTAGAGTTATTGTTGTTTTTTTATGCTGTGGAATTACACAATTATATATTAAATTCCGTATCCAGTTATATACTGATTTTCATTTACACTCTGTATCAACAAGTTAGAAACTACATTTTTTGACTTTCATTCATTTCAGTGTCAAAATTTTTTTTTTGACACTGAAATGAATGAAATGAATGTTTTTTTTTCCCAAAACAAGACTATACACTTTGCATTGTTTCATCAAATTCAAATCATAATAAAACATCTCTGTTTGTTCTTACAAACAGATCTGGTATGTACTGAAAGTTTAGAAGCCAGACTTTCCACAGAATTTCTCTGTTTGATTCACTGCGCTCGAGTGCAAAATAATTATGATAAAATTACAGCATTTTGTGATTGCTGTTGATAACTGCGCATTCTAAGGGCTCATGTGAGAATATAAATAGCAGGAAACTAAAAGTCATTGTCAACATATTTCCTCGCCACAACATAGGTGATAATCTCCTTTTAGACACTGAGCTTCTCATTGCTTTTTTATTGTTGTATCACATGTATACAGATGTAGGCCGACTTTATACTAGACAAAAGTAGGCAACAGCCTAAGGCTCCATGAAAATAAAAATTTGAGATTATGGACTGAATAAATAACCTCTGCTGAAATCGAAAACATACCAGAATGATTGTTAATTACTGTCATGGTGATTATTTTCAGTAGGCTACTGTTAGTATTAATGTTAAAACGATTAGCATTGACTGTCAAGGCACCACTTCAGATGTTGGTCTATACATACAGTTAAAATACAGCCCAACCACATGTTGAAACATGAACATTAAGCTTCATATTTGGCTGCTCAGTAGGTATTTTCAAATGTGCTTTGTGTAAACATCTATTTAGGCAACAAATCCATGAGCAAATCCACAATACCAGTACTGTGTAATACTGTGTAAGAGCAGGGGAACAACTAAACACTGCTGGACTCCCCCTGATCACCCTTAGGCCTACATCCATTCTGGATTTTGGGGCTCCAGGCAAACACTTGAACATTGCCCTCCTCAACCCTAAGTATTTACCTCGGTTCTTGCTCAGTTTCCTTATTCACTTTTCGTTGCACAGTGACAGTGCTGCCTAACTGTCAGTTCTGACTGTGTAATATGTAATATCACATTATTTTCAGACATATTTTTGATACATTGTATGCATCAGGATGTTTAGTTTTTTTTGAGATTGGATAAGTCAGTATAGACAGAATGCCTTGTCTCTACCCTGTCTTAGCGCCACATTTATAAAATACTTTAAAAACTATGAAAGCAATGATTAATTATTCTGTTCCACACACTGCACTGCCCTCAATCCAGTTAAACATGACTATGTAGTTATATAACATTATGCTTTACATTTATGCATTTGGCAGATGCAAAAAAATAGCAAATATTAATAAATATTATTTTGCCCACCTCTAGTTCTGACCACACTGTCTAATTAGTTATTTGGTGTATAACAATTCTGAAACTGAGACCGAAACCGCAGTACAAACATCCACAGATGGAACCGAGATACCCCAAGACCCCTCAACCTCAACCCACTGCCACCGCTTCTAGTGCAGCCTGTTGAGCTCTCATGTTACTCCTGTAACAAAACCCATTTTTACTTTCATGATGAACACTGATACACATGTAAATCAAAAAAAATGACATTCTATTTAATTAATAATAAGCCTTAATAAGTAATAAGCCTGGGATTTGAAGGGGTTTAAGTTAGGTCACTCTGTATACCATGCAAAAAAAAAAAGTGTTTGTTGGTGATTTAATACAATTCAATCAATAAAATGTTTTTTCTTATTCACCCCCCCACCTAAAAGAAATACAAAAAAAAAAACATAACCGAGGTATGAACCGAAGTGTGGCTCAAAAATTGAGGTGGAGAAGTGTTACACCCCTATTAGTTATACCTTGTTATTTCTGATAATGCCATACATGTATCATTCTGATGACCTCTGGTTGCTAGGTAACAACAACGGTTGTTTTACTCTAAGCTCTAAGCTACTTTTTTGACCGACGATACTAAAATAATATATTTGAAAGAACATTTTAAACATAAAGCTTCTCAGCTTTACTCTTTTTTTTGTTTGTTTGCATAGAAGCATAAAGTTTGCATAAAAGCAAAATAAAACATCCAGGGAGGTTTGTTATGGTGAATAACATAACGGTTGTGATGATTTTCTGTAACCAAATCAAAGCTGTGATGATATTCTCCATAACAAACTCCTGCTCACGTTTTATTGCTTAACACACTAGTGTAAGACTGTTGTGTTTCACTCATTGTTGTGCTCCACCAATCAGGTGCAAATGGAAGTTTAAATGCCAATCCATTTTCCTTTATTTAGCTTTCACAGAGATAGAAGATGAGTGGAGTTTAAACCAATGTTTCCCAACACTAGTCCTGCAGGCTCCACCTGCACTGCCTGGTTTCTTGTTTTCATCATGTTTTCCAGATTTAACATACTGATTCAGCTCAAGAAGGACTTGATAATTAGCAAATGATGTGACTCAGGTACAGGGAACAACATGAAACTGGGCAGTGCAGGTGGAGCCTTCAAGATGGTAGTTGGGAAACACTGCTGTAAACTGTTTCATATGACCTGTAAATATTAGCTAGTTGCTAGGGGTGCACAACGTGAGTTTTGGAGATAGACAGAAAGATAGAGGGCAGAGATCCAGCAAAATTTGGTGATTTCCCTGCTCAAACCTCACCAGGTAATTAGTAGGTGTGTTGCAGCAGGGGAATCACCGAACTATGCTGGACTCCAGCCCTAAAGCCTCACAGTGGGGCCTAGATTGACATCTATTCACAACAATTCAAATTGATGACAAAACAATTTAGTTTTACCATGATTTGATCATTTTGGTACGATTCTGAATTATTTTTATGAATACAGTGTAACTGAAGCCACTGTTTACACAGTAGTGGAATATAGACAAAAACATTTTGCTACTTTGTTATTCTTTTAAAAAAATTCTTACACCCTAAATTGTTACAAATATACAACATTTTCGACTGAAGCTCTTCAAATAGAAGAGAAAGAATTTTATTTTTGAGCAAAAATTGAGCTCGTACTTCAGATTAATGTGTGACAAAAAATGTGGTCAAACGGCCTTTTTAAAAGGAAAAAGTACAGTATATGTATTTTTCACCCCCAATACTCAGATGTTTAGGGGACCTACACAAAGCATAAACAAGAAGCACATCAGTGTCGAAACGTGAGAAAAAGCTGTCACTCATGCAGGGAACGTGCCGTCATTGACGCTGACTCTAACGTTAGTTCTAACATTAATTCACCGCTATTTATCCTCGCAGATTAAACAAGCCTTCTCATCCAGTCTAAACAAAAAACAAACCCCTTTCCTTGTCTCAGTAAACTCAGCAGTGGAGAATCCACTCGTGTTTAGGCCACGTCAGCATCATATGCTTGTGTGTTTTGTAAGTGACCCCTTGAACTGCAGGTTTATTATTCGGGTCCTAATCTTAAGGCTTATTATTCAGTAACAACTCTGAAACTCATATACAAGTTATGGGGATATGAGACAGCAGTTTCTAAGGGGTTTCATTATAAGGGCTTAAGAAATCTCAGTACTTTCACTAACGTCATTTTAAAAAAAACACATTTTTTCAAATCCGCAGTTAATAAGAATGTTTTTCTCCCTGGCTCTGTGCCAGATCAGTGACTTCCTGTCAATGCCTCAGCTTTTGCTCTCTTTCCGGTAAGCAGGATGCCGCTGGGACCCGATGACATCATTTCAGTCCGATGGCTGTGTCCGACGTAATTCGGTTGCAGATTGAGCTCATGAATCATGAGCTTTTGTGGTCCAGCTTCAATCAATTAAAGTGACTGTGCCGTTTCTGACTCCAAATGGCGTGCGGTCGCTGTGAGAGATCCCCCCACGGCTGTTTTGAACCTCTCGTCCACTCGCTGTGGAAAAAGACTGGTGATCTCTTCCTGACTCCTGTGAAAAGAAAGGAGGATGTATTTGAGGGTGGTTGCCACACAGTAGCGATGCTGTGCACCCGGTGTGATGAAAAACTTCATAGTCGACCTCCTCGACCTCTCTGTCTGACCCTTCCGTGCAAAAGCAGTGTAATGTCTGTCTGTAATGAGTCAGGCAGCTTGTATTCCTGTTTTTGTGGGTTATTTTCACTGACCTGTATTACTGCACTGTTTTTTTATATCGACTGAATTCATACTGCAGCTTTCATCATTAACTGATTTTGTCCTTATTAACTGATCATTAACTACAATTGATTACTTTTATCTAAAGTTGCATTTTGAATGACTGTGGTGCTTTGGCATGAGTATCTGGCTGGCGTTTTCAGACATAATGATTTCAGACATGATCATTCCCTTACAGAGACAATGTTTTTTGATATGTAAACATGTTTTAACATGTGATCACAAATTTTTTCACATGTGAAAAAGTTTTCAGATGTGATAGCGTATTTTTTAACTTTTTTAACATGTGAAGTGTGCATACAACGTGAAATTCATGTCACTCATTTGTAAGCATAGTTATGTCTTCAGAGATAATTGAACAGATAATTTTTTTTCTGATACTGAGAAAAACGAAACACTGCAAAGTAAAACTTACCACTTGTGGCTGGTCTGATGGCATTTGCTTGGATTTAGCACTGTCAACTATCAGTTCAGGTTACTATAACTAACTGGGCTCAGAATCTGGATTCTACATAAAGCTAAAG